CACTCCTCCCTTCCACATGCAAGGGAATATTTGCAGGCTCTCCAGTTTGCTTGTAGCACAAGTATTCCTTCTAAAAAGCCAGGTAATATGTTTCATAGATTGTTTTGCTTCTTTCAGTCTTAATTGGAAAGACATAAAAACTTCCACAGCTCAAACCTCTGTGCATAAACCCTTTGAATAACAGCATTATACAATCATAAAATATCAATACCTAATTTCTCATAAAAAAATTTCTTATCTGCCTGTATCTTACAGCTGGCTGCAGAAAGTTCCATCTCAAACCTAATTATGAGACCTGACTATTTTCTCTTTTACGTAACATTCCTCCCTATTCACACAACTCAGCGGAGTTGTTATTTAAATACTAGCATAAGTAAACCAAGGCTGCAGCATGACATATTAGCATTTTCAGCACAGGCAGTCTTAAAATAACAGCTGTCCTCCCATCGTTAAAGGTCACAGATCATACCTGAAACTCGCCACAGACGGTTCCATACTCAGTGTCATCACAGCACATTAACTTCTTCAGGGGAAAAAATGCTCCAAACATAACAAGTTGGACTTTCCCAGTCTGTTCAGGCTATCTATTTCTCAAGCATTATTTCTCAGATAACAGAAACTACGTGGAAGTCACAACCGACCAGCAGGAGCATGCTCTGCTCCATATGATAGAAGTACAAATAAAAGTATTCATTTAGTTAAAGACAAAAAACACACATTCAGTTAAACACACTACAGATTAGTGATGAAGATGACTTGGAGAGTTTAATCTTGTATCACAAAGGGTATTGGAAGAATAAAAATAGGCAAAAGACGTTGAAGCAACGGCAAAGCAACAAGAATTCAGGTAAAAGTCGCTAAGGACAGCGTGCAGCTCACCTCCCTCCTGCCAGACAACAGTGACCTGCTGGCACTATGGAGCACTTAATTCCCCTTATTTGCAGACTAATGAGGCATGTAATGAGTGTTAGAAATGCTTAGCAGTGCTGCTTGTAGGGAGAGTAACCTGGGGAAAGCAAACGGGAACCTCAGGCTGTCAAAAGAAATCACAGGGATACAATGGGATGCTGGATGAACGATCTGGTACCAGGCAATCAACAGGGAGGACCTCATGCCTTCCCTCTTGCTGTGTCTCTCCTGAGACATGGGGAAGGGTTTTGGGGTTTTTTTAATTTTCCTGGTGGCTGCAGGCTGCTCTATGACTGCGCATGAAAGGAAGCTGCTACTGAAAATTATTTTTGCCATTGTAGATTCAAAACACTAGAGGTTTTATGAAGATTTCTGCTTATGAACGTCTTCAAAAGCCCAGGTTGGGAAAAAGAAGGAAAACAAATACATGGTTTTGCTTAATTTATTTAGGGAGAGCTTCAGTGAAAGAAGCTCCAATAAATTATTTGGGTAAGACAAAAGCATTTGGTCTCAAATTTTCATCTTTTAAACCTATAATGACTGCAATAGAACTCCCCTTTGTGTACAGTGGGACTAACAGGGCTGGACAGTACCTCTTGCAGCTCCTTGGCTCAAGGATTTCTGCCTTCAGGCAGATATTAGGATAAGTTAAATCATTCTATCTGTCCTTTGCTCACTTTGGGCAGTTAAAGATTGTACGTGCAAGATTTAAAACAAAACAAAACAAAACAAAACACAACCAGTGACATTCTGAGTTTAAATAACATAGAAACTGAGACACATTAAGTCCTGGTGACAATTCAAAGAAAGACAATCTAGCACTGGGAGAGCTGGCTTCACTGTAGAACAGACACAGAAAATGGTTTTGGGGCCATAAAATTTTCTTTTAAAGAGTGTTCTCCAGCTTATTCATGGGGAAAATGGAAAATCTTGACAGGTTTGTTTGTGTTTTGTTTTGTTTTTAATTAAAGAATAACACTTCGACATCTCCACAGCAGAAGGATTCCACTGGTTCTTCAGAGATGCTCAAATCTGAAGTGACATCCTTCCACAGCGGTAGAAATGGAGAAGCTGGTATTTAACAATCTGGCCTCCTGCAGTATGTCCCAGATTCCTCAAAATGCACCTTCTTACAACTATATAAATCAGCTAATGTAAGATGTTACCTCAGCTTGCAAATCTTGCTCTCCTGACCACCTAAGGAAAGACAGCAAAGGAGCCAATAGTTCTATTAGTTTGAACCAACAGTTTGTCATCTGCAAATTCACTGCAAGTGCACTCTGTCCCATTGTTCAGGTCATTATTCAAGACATTAAACAGTATTAGCCCCAGTATCAGCTCTGGGGGTACACCAGTGACTGGCTTCCAGCTAGATTACAACTCTGTGCCCAGGAGTTTAGCCAGCATTTAGTCCACCTCATTGTTGATTTACCTAGACCTTACTTCATCAGTTTCTTTGAGGATGTTATGTGAGACAGCATCAACAACATCCACTGCTCTGAGCATTGCAAATTGGCTAACTAGAAAACGAGGCAAATGCATTAACTGTCTATTAAAATATAGGCCTTAATTGTGCTTCAATAAACTCAGACTCTAGATTGGACATAACATTAACTTCATTATTTCACAGAGCCTTCTGGCAAAGTATTAAAATTTAAGTATCTTTCTGATCTTTTGATGGAAAGTTTTATATATTTTTTGTATGTATATATATATGCTTACATGCACACACATCCATATATATGCACACTCACAACAGTGCCCTTTCAATAGTGACATTTTCTCACACTCATCATCTGGCTACTACACAGGAGTCACAGTATTAATTTTTTTCCCCATGTACAAGCAACACCACAATGTAGAAAATTCAGTCACTGCTAGCTTTTCTGTGATGTCCAATTCTAAACCCATTAATCTTCTACAGCATGTATTAATATAACATATATAATCATAAAGAGTTTGGAAACAGTGTTTTTGAAAATTTTCCAAAACCTCTGACAATGCGACAGAGATAGCAATCTGACCTAAATAACCAGGCTGGTACTTTTACTGTCAAAATGAGGCAGAACGTAAGAAGGACAGATGGTGCCCAGTTGCATTTTGAATGCATTGCTGCACACACTGGTGTCAGAGACACAAAGACTAGAGGATACCAGTGCTAATTTGATGTCCATGCTAGTTGCACTCCTCATAATTCAGTAACTTCTCCTGACTGCTGTCATCAGGACAACCACTCCAATCCAGAATCCTGCCTCTTCATGGGAGGCTCTGTTCACTTGGGTGGTTAACCAGACCTTTGCAAACCAGAGACTTCCCTAGTTGCTCTGCATTTGGAAAGTTGACCTGGAAATGGTTGTGATAGGTCAAGATTGTTACTAAGGGTAAGATGAGCACCTCACTTGCTGTGGCTAAGTTCTGAGCAGTCTTTAGAGTAAAAAGCAAATGACAGAAAGAAAGATCTAATTTCATTAAGTGCTGCTTAGGTCACTGTTTTCCTAGATTTAAGAATGCAAGAAAAACATAAAAGGAAAATGACAAAATTACTACAAAGCTTCACACTGGGAGAAAGAAAGCTTTAGTAAAGCAGTTTTCTACATGCCATGGGAAAAATACTTTGCAAAGGAATTGAATTTCCCAACCTACACATTACCTCATTAGCTCCTTCCAGCATTTCACACAAAAATTATTTCTGTTTACCTATAAAGATACATGTTTTCTATTACAGTAAAATGATCATTGTAAAAGCACAAATTCTACTACTAATACAAATTTTCTGAACATGATAATGACTAGTAGTCATAGATACAATGATGAAATGGTTAGTAATAAACTCTGAACTCAATACTGAATATTAACCATCTCCTGCAAGCCCAGTTGCATATGGTTTAAGAAAAGACAGACACAAACAGATTAACAAATTTGCTCAGATCAAACAGATAATCAAGGGCAGAGATGGATGAGACTTCTCAATTTCAGTCTAACCTGAGGGTTCAATTGAGTTATCTAATGACTAGTCAACCTGCTTTCTTTCCGTTACATGCAGTATTTAGCAGATATGTTGTGTATTTCTGGAAAGGACACATCAGGGAAGCCTGTAGCTGTTGACAATTTGCATATATTTTTAGGGGACAATAAATGCAAAGCCCTGAAAGACAGTGGTTAAGTTTCATTTTTTATGAGGATCCACCTACTTTTAAAATAACACGTGAGTACTGTAAGATTGATATACTGCAAGACTGTAATAAATTTTTCTTCCTGATACAAAAAAGATGGTGTCATAGCAAGTTACAGCATCTCTTCAAAAGTGGGACCCAACACACACCTCAAATACTACATTTCTTGTCATCCGGTTCTGAATAATCTTTGAGATAATATTCCCACCCTTGCAGGAAACCATAAACGAGGACTAAAGGCAATAGAGTTTATCATTCTTCTGTACCACCAATTATAAAGCAGTATAAACCTGCATTAATTTCTGGAGGAATTGCCCCTTTCATCATCTTGTTTTTTGGGGAAAACTAGATTTGCTAAATTTGACTTTGCATCTCTATTGCAACTGTTTGGATCTATTTGAAAACTCATTGTCACTCCTTGCATTCAGCATTATTGGCAGAAACTGCTGGCGATTTGTCTAATCTGACATCCCTTGCCATCCTGGCTAGCACCAGATGCTACAAGAAAGGCGCTAGAAACCCCACAACAGTGGACAATAACTCAATAAACAGCTTTTGGGGAGGCTACCTTTGCCAGAGCTTTTCTTCATTCGTCGCTGCACTAAAATATGAAGTTATATCCATTGAAAGTGATGTGCCATCCACACTTATAAATGGTAAATTTCTTCATCAATCCTGCCAAATATTTTGCCTCAGTGACCTCTTGTGGCAGTGAGTTTGAGAGACATTAGGCCAGCATTGTGGATGACAACAATTCTTCCATTTAGATGATACACAATTAACAAAAATGAGTCAACACCTGAATGAGTAAACTCATGGGGAACACAACCATTTCATTATAGTGTGGTATTTTAGCAATACATACGAAATAGAGGATGTTTCCTTTTTTTTTTTTGCTTCATACATGAATACACTTACCACTTTCTGGCCTGAGAGGTAAACTAACAGGTGGACACAGGTTAGGCATGGTGTTCTTCAAGTCAGCTAAAAGCAGAAAAAAAAACAAAACATGTGAAAACAATTACACCTGAAAGTTTAAAATGTAATCAACACCTCAATATTTCCAGCATTACTTCTGGGATCTAAATGTTGCATCTTCTCACCACAAACACTGGGAGTAAGGATGCAAGGCTGCTTTGCTAGCTAACCCTTTTGAGCTCACGCATGAAACCAGACTTCCCTAAATTTCTGTATTTATAAACATTTCTACAAACACTTTTCAAGATGCAGTTATTTATGAACAACAAATTTGACTAGTTCTGTGTTTTTTTCCATGCCTCTCTCTGTATTTGGTTTTCTGCATCACAAGAGACATGAGATTTTCTCTGCTTCCTGATTAGCAAACTGGAATTTCTCAAAACAAGAATTAGGAACAAGTCAGTTTCCAGCAGAAAACTTTCCAAATTAAAATTCAAATAATCATTCATATTTTCCACATATGAAACTTCTCATGTGCTAATATTTCCCTTAAACATCTTGTAATTTTAAATAACAAACAAGAAGTTTCCCCTGTGCATTCATAGTTTTTAAAACACTTCAGCTAATCAAATCAGTTATAAATTCTCTACTAAGACAAAATAAATTACCATCCCTACAGAATCTGAAGACAGATCAGATTTTCGGTTTGTTTCTTCCACTTTGCACTGCCCATGCATGTAACCAATAGATATTTCTAAAAACTCAGGAGTTTTAGCATTCACTTTGGCAGGAGTGAAGAATTAGGGCTATCCAGAACTCTCTTTAAAATGCTATTATACGTTCCTCATGGTCTGAGCTGCAACCATGACTATACGTACGAAGTCAAATTACTAATGAGCGGATCCATGCGGGCAAACAGCTCACACGCCAATTTAACATATTATGAAACGCGGAGATATGAGTACCTTCCTACAACAAGACTATGGACTACAACCAAAGACCCTGCTTCCTGCTAACATCCAGCTGCCTACGGTAAATTACTCCTTCAGATTTCACTCATTTTCCCTTTTAGCCTCAGAGCTTTCTTGTTCCTCTTCCTGGTTGCCAGACCCCCAACACGCCAGTACAACTGATACAAATTTTTGTCTGCAAATATCTCCATTTGCATAAACATCTGTGCCTTGCTGTGTGTTATGGTGGAAACACATCTGAAGCTTCCTAACTGCATAAGGAAATGTCATTGCTCTCCTAACAGTCTCCCCTTTGCATACACCCTAGGCTCCTCTTCATCATCCCTGTCTATGAAGTGAGCCATATAATTTATTTTTAGTTGGTTCTTTGTCAACAAGAGGAAAAACAATTCTAAGAAGTGGAAGTGTATCTACACCTCCGCCGTCTGCTCTTCACTTTGCCTTCATATCGTTCTTCGTTCTTACCCATGGCTGTTTCTCAGCTCTGCCTGCCCGCATGCTCCTGCCATTGCCTACTTTATCAGGCCTGTTGTTCCCTTCTTCTCAGTGCTAGACCCTCACTCATCCCTCCCCAAGCCCACACCAGGATCTGGGAAACCCTATAAGCTTCTGTGGTGCCCCCTCAGCTCCATGCTGTCTCTCCTCTTTAACAAGGGTTACCCCACTGGGGAGGAAATGGATGGTCTAGCAGGCAGAGTGCCAGAGCAGGGCTTGGAAAAGATCAGGATCAAGTTCATATTTTAGACACTTCCAGTGTGAATGAGGGTTTTCTTTAAGTTTACCAACACTGTAAAATGCAGTGCATTGCCAGGATATCTGATGTAGCTTTACACAACTTTAACTGGATTATCTTTATATCACATGCACTGGACAGTATACATCTACGCTTCATGTCACCTCTGTCCACTCAAATATTAGTCCTTCTCTACTCTGCAAGAACTAAGGGAGTTTAAAAACAGGAAAAAGTACTCCTTATTCAATTTTTTTCCCTGATTCTATCAACATTGCCAGACTTGCCTCGCTGCTTTCGGTGGAGTTCAACAAGGCCGTGCCCATTTAGACTTAAAAACAGGCAATCCTCCCATAAACGGGGATACAGTCAGACAGGTGTTCATTGTCCTTATTGCTTCAGTTATGTTAAATCGAAGCTTAACAAAGTAGAACTAGAGCCACTCATGAGGAATGTGACAAATGACAAACCCATTGCAATTTTTCAACAAAATAATGGAGTCTTGTTTTGCTATGGAAAAGAAAATTCACTTTGACTAGATCTGGTTTTGATTCCTCTTGAGGAAATAACCTAACCTCTCATAACTGCTCTTCTGTTTAAACACGTGATGGCTTCTTACTGCTTGAAAAATACAGTGCTACCTTGGAATGTGGTCTTGGCTCTTTCTTTAACAAAACAGCCAAAAGTTAATTTTAAATTCCACAACAAAACCAAACCTTTTGAAGTTATGCATCCACACACACTATTAAACCATAAGTCCAGCAGTGAGAAACAAAGAATTATGTCCTGACCAGGACTGTGCAGTGGGACAAAATACATTTGGATTCCAACACTGGCCACAAGTGTCCCATAAAATCTAAGAAATTAAATTATACCTCTTTGAGGTATTTCTGTTCCTTTTTTATTAAAATGGAGATTAAATTGCACCTTTCTTTCCCTTGCACATACTTATCTGCTTTGTCTATTTGTGATCCTTGCAAATGGGTCCTCCATCTGACAGCTGAAGCTTCTATACAATGAAGCTAATTAATAATCTTCAATGTACAGAAACCAGTCGGAAAAGCCATGTACCCTGCATGACTTACCAGGCTTTTGATACCAGCCAAATGGGTGTATTCTGACTTCAGCATCTGGTGAACTACAGTTTGACACTTGCCAAGCACTTCTTGTTTCCTCAGCACACATCTGGATTCCTAGGCTGTTCAGAGTCAGGCACATGATCTTTCCACCTGCCAGGGAAATACATTGTTATACAAATGATGAGGAAAATTTTCCTCTTCTAGATAGTATTTTGAGGAAAGTGAATACGGCCTGATTCCACTGAGTGTTAAAAGGAATTCCACTGACTTAGAAATCAAAGGAAGTACCTAAAATGTGCCAAGTTTTACTGTTATTGAAAATAGCGTTGAAAAATCACAATGAATTCAATGTGAGGGAAGGTGGGTACCAACATTTTAACCCATTAAGGTCACTAGGAGTATTGCCACTGAGCAAAGATCAGGACCTCTTCTTTGAGCAAGCAGCCCTTTGTGGTTAATGCAATCTTGGAAATTAAAAATCTGCATGTATGTTGAAACAGGGCCCCTACTTACATCAAGATAAAAATTCTTCCTTTCAAAGACCTAGTGTGAATATTTCTGGACATGAAAAAAATAGAAGGTGTGAAATACAGCTAGCAGGTTCATTGAAGATTTATCCTAGCTCATGTTAAAATCACTACTAGAATTTCTCTTGACTATATGAATGCCAGGACTGGATGTCTGAAATGCCACAGATAATAAATATTAATCAGATAAACTGAGAGGTGTCAGTTTTGCATGTTTGGTGCTTTAAAATCCTTAATATTTGTTAGAACTATTTAAAGAAACTTAAAGTCATATTCAGTTAAGACTTCAAATTTCACATGGTCATATGGAGGTGTGAAAACTGTCAACTATTTTTGATTTGCGCAGTAATTCCAATCTGAAATACATTGGATTGATTTTCCAAGCTGGTCATTTTTGACTGAGTGAAAATTTTGTCTGCTCAACAAAAAAGGGAATTAAAATATATATATATTTCTGAAGTGTTCCAAATTCCCAAATGAATTGTAAAACCAGCACATCCTAATGACCTCAGGGAGAGCTGATTAGCACATGACACTTCCGAAAACAAGGTTAGCCATTTTAGTGGCCTAAATCTGAATTTGGAATAAAATATTAAAAACTATTTCATTGACTTTGACCTGGATGGCATCCAATTTTAAACACCTGCTAAAGACTTTCTTTAAACAGAGCACTTCTTTTACAGCCAGTGGAGAGAAAGAAAAGTATCTCCAGAATAGGATTCAGTCAACCAAACCCCATAGTTTTGTCTATACATCTCTCTGCTGACTACAGAGGGAACGCAGGGTGACAACAGCCCTTAACTTAGCCATCTCAGGTGAGTAAAATATGTTTGTTTCACTTTCTAATGGCTTTCAAGTCACGCACACTTTTAAAGATCTGATTTCCTCAGGCTAACAGAAATCCTACTTGAGATGTCTTAAGTAGCTAAAGTACTAAGGACGAGAAGATACGCAACCTCTATCCCCAAGCAAACTTCCTCAAGTAGAAGACCAAATTGGGGAGCAGAGAAGTTCAGACATCCAAGAAAGCCAAAAGGCTAAGCTGCCACAAAGTATCCAGGGACATTATGTGCTTAACGAGCATCTAATTTCAGTAATATTTAAGTTTCTAAGTCCCTTAGGTTTAAAAGATGAAACAACATTAAAAAAAAAAAAATCAAAAAAAGTAGTCAACCAACATTTTGGAAGAGGTGTTGAAGAAACAGTTCCCTGGAGTTTTATCAGTTTGAATTTCATGCTGTTGGAACTGCAGCCTCTTAAGGACACATTCTCATGAAGTTTTCTTAATAATTTCTGGGGTGTGGAATGTGTCATTGGGCTGAACTCCTAGAAATGGTTATGGTTACCCAAAAAGGTGCTAAAGAGAGTTGCATAAGATCTGCAAGGGCTTTTAAAGTGCCCTTCACAGAAAAAGAATGGTAAAGTTTGGAACAGTGAAGGGAGACCGAAATTATTTTAAAAATAAAAAGAGTGAAAAAATACCTGATAGCTGGGAGTCATTAAAAAAGCCAAATCCCGTGCAACAGGGGTCAGCATCACACCAACGTTCACACTCAAAGAAGCTGGGAAAGGAAAAACATCATTGCTTTTAGTATCATCAATAATCTGTCTCTGTCATGGAGAAGGGAAGAGATGATATTGCATAGGGGGGAGAGACTGAGAACCTGTAGAGATGCCTTTCATGATAAGGCTGCTTCATGGTTCTTCATGCTGCATAGATAGTCCATACTTTTTCCATTTGTAGATGAAATTACGTTTGATCTGTATACATCTACCAGACTACAGCTAATAATTTAGATGATTATTTTGATATCTGCCCTAAAAATATCAGCCTAAATTAATTTGGTCTATTATTGTCAAGAGATTTAACTGGCCAACCAGCAATTTAATGGCACTATAAGTAATAATTCACATATATAAAATTACTAATTATATACATGATTATTTATAACAACTCAATTATAAATTTCCTTTAAATCATATGCTATTTTTTCTTTGTTAACTACTCTCAAATAATGCTGTTCTTGGATCAATACGTCTCATCCCCTTCATATGTGTAACAGGGCCTTGGTATTCCAGGCATGGTTAAACTTCCAGTAAAAACAAAGGAACAGTCATGTCCTACCCATCTGAAACAGCTTTACTGCTCATGTCAGTCTTATTCCTCACTGAGATCCCCGTTACTTTCTGGAATGGCACACGTGTATAGAAGCTCTTCACAGAACTTTTTAGAGTGACTGGAAGGAAAAAGAAAAACAAAATTGGAAAAATCATCTTAACCTTGTAATTCACATATGCTGGTCAAGTAACCACATGGTAAGGGTAAAGTTTATGTTTCTATGCTACAATGATCTTGATCAATTAAAAGATAATTTTACATTATCACAGTAAACTTTTGATGGTTAAGCCTGAACATGAACAAAAATCCAACAAGTGAAGGATCTAAAAGCTGAGCAAAGTACATCGCCAAGGAAAGACTTCCAGCCCAGGGCTTCTGTTTCTGAGCCCTGTGTTGACATTACTCCTTCTGCAAGGTCCAAAAACTAGGGGACAACCCCAGAATGGAAGACTCCACTGTGCTCATGAATTATTCAACCTGTGCTGCACTTTGGGCTCCCTGAAAAGACACTATTTAATAGTTTAGTTCAGTGGACCTTTACATTTTTCCCAGCAAAAGTATAGGTTCCTGTACAGTGATAACAGGCTTGTTTGTCCAGCTTCCTCACGTGAGCCCTATGAGAAAATCATTGAACTTCCCAAGCATTCAAAGAGCAGAGGTTAAAATCCACATGTCTGTAACTCTGGATTTGCTGAAAAAAAAAAAAAAAAATTACAAGCAACGACTTTCAATTTTTGCATTGCTAACTACCATGGAAATTTTAATGGTAGAAAATGGGATTGCTGACATCCCAAGGACATTCCCATTTCACCCACATTAAAAAGATTTAACACCTGGTATACAAAATATTTGAGCTATGCTTTGCCTCTCTGAATTGGGAATAACTGAGGTGGAGAGTGGAACTCATGGTTATTGTCTTTCCATTCTGAACTGAAAATGAAAAACCGTATCCAGAACAGCCTGACCTTGTCTTGCACCATCACGTCCCAGGACTCATTCATACATTCAGACTTTTTAGCTCAGAATCAAGAGCCAAAACAGTGGCTTGCATTAGCAGGGTTAGAGCACACAGTATACCTCCAAATCCCCAAACTTGCCTATTTTATGATACAATGTCTGTGGCTGCCTGGGTAGCACAGTTCGACAGTTTTCTGGTATTTGATCGATGTTGCCATCACAAATCTGTGCCTCTGGATAGAGGGTACACACAAAGTATTTGTCTGCAGCGTTTTGAAGATCTGCCATTCGACAAAACTCATCTTCTTGTGCACAACCTAGGAAGCAAAGTCACTAAGAGTTACACACACACGAGGGTTTCTTCCCCTCTCTATTCTTCTTCATGTCTTCAATGCACTTAAAGCTATCCATCAGCAAACAACTAAAAGTGAGAATTTCAATATTATCCTATTACAGTGCAAGAGAAACAGGGACAGATTCTGTTTCTAGTGTCACTGAAGAGCAGGTTTACCTGGAGAGCACACAAAAGGAGCTACACCACAGCTAATTGGAAAGATACATTGTGATTCATAAAGATCTTTCTCTCTTTTTAGTAAATTTGACATACAAACGGTATAATCATAAACGTAATAATCATATAATCATCAGTCGTGGGTCTCTTACTGTAAAGAATAAAAAGTAGTAATCTGCACTGAAATTTGCTCCAGGGTAATAATGCACATTCAGAAAGGAAACAAAGCCATCAAACCCATTTCTTAATTACTGTGGCAATGGCTTCTGTAAATATATACCTCAATGCTTCATTTTAAACAGGCATAGCTCTGCTGACCTCTTATAGTGATGTTTGTGCATGGTTTAGTACTCTCAGTTTGACCTTCCTGGTAGTCAGAGATAGAAACTCTTCTCCATTTTTCACATCAAAATATATTTTAGCATTAACCCCGAATATCTGTATTGTACCTTCTCCTGTTACCACTATGTCATCCATCTAATTGGAGGGGTACATTTCAAGAACAGCAGAGTATTGCCTAAGCTGTATCTTCTACTTCTCTCACCCATAACAGGGATAACCCGATGATGAACGATGGGTACCCTTCTGCCACAGCAGACAAAGATTGTAAGGAAGAAGCAGGTGGCTCCATTAACAACTTCCATGAAAATTTTGTGGGTTTTCCCCAAAAAATCTCTAAGTCCAGAGTTTCTACTCATCATGATTATAATACCTATTAAAGTAGTTTAATTAATTATTATTCCCTACAGAATAACAGTCTCCAAGATGTCTTACGTGTGAGACACCAAAGCACAGCCTCCTCTGCTGAGTACTTCTGCCTGAAGACCCAATACTGCTGGTAAGGGAGAGAATAGTTCTGGTCACTTTGTATCCGGCTGTTGTCCATTAGGTAGAAAAGATCCTTTGTGGAATCTGAGATTCAAACAAACAAACAAAAAAACTGCTCAGACCCACAAAATAGTTAACTATGATCTGGAATAAATTAAATTTATTTATACATAAAATGCTGCCTTTCACAGTAAAACAGCTGCAACCATTTTGTAGGGCTAACATATACCAAAGGCTGCTTTTAATAACAGGATTGTCCACCCACAGTTATTGATGCTTGTGTAGGCAATGCCTCCTCACCAAGCTGCACTGCACAACACTGCATTGTCTATTTCACCACCCAAAAACTAGACGAAAATCACAGCTCCTAGAAATAAGAAGGTTCTCTCTACTCTTGTCACACAACATATCAGCCTAACAGTGAAGTATAATGCCTCAGAGGATGCTTACAATACCTTAATCAATCTACTTCTTTTATTAATCAAAAATTAAGCAGTTTCCTTTTATTCCCTTAGGAAGCTTTTACAGCTCTCAGTGTTAAAAGTTTTCTTAACAAGCTTAGTACCTATTTGAGCCATTTAACCTTATTTCTCCTAGTTTATGCTCCCATAGACCATATTAAATAACTCCTTTCTGTCACCTGTGTGAGATCCTTAGACATGTATGCAATGCTTTATATCTCCTGAGCTCCCTCTGAAACAATCAATCACAGCTATTTCAGGCTGTTTTCAAATTAATCCCTTTAAATAAGGGTCCAAGTAAAATATTGAAAGAAATGGATGTTCTTCATAAACACCTTTTTATTTGTCAAATGCCATGAGCAGGTCTCATCCCCAGTTACTCCAACATTGTGAGAGATTCTGTTATTTAATCTTACATGCACTGAAACAGCCAGACAAAAATGAAAATAGGAAAGCAGAGACGTGCTGATGATTGCAGCTGAAATGCTGAAGCACCTACTGACATGCTGGGAGTTCACAATAGCTTTGAATTTTCTATCAGAAAATGGAAAAGATATGTTACTGTGTGCTTTAAGGATGATCATGAAGTAATAAAAGCTCTGTAGACATTTTCCCAGATGCATCCGTAACTTTTTTAAAAAAGTGACTTATAAGTCTTGTTACCTCTCGAGACTTAACTTCAACCTTCAGTTTCTCTTGGAACAGTTTGTGTCATGACTAAGACTAAGGGATGGAGGAAGAAGGTGCATTCCTTGCATAACTTCAGGTTTTAATGATATCATCAGCCAAAGCAAGGTAAACAGGGAACCCTGAGGGCTGCACTCATGCCTTGGCAGGTAAACTCAAGAGAATTTCACCCCATGTATTAAGTGTAGTTTTTTCTCATTTTTAAGTCTAGACTTTAAGATACAACTAATTGTATAGGAGCGCCACTAGCTAAATGGGCATTTTAGTTTACCTTCCATTCAAACTAGATAAACAATATCAGCAATTCACCTTGTGTTACGATTTTACATGTATTAAATCACGTGCTCAGGTATTCATCAAGGCTCCTTAGCAAAGATTACAGTTCATTAGAGATGAACCAAAGTGCTCTCAACAGGCTCCACTGCTCTCTTTCTCTTAGGATTATGGCGCTGAAGACCCAAAGGAAATCTAGTAACTTAATACAAATGATTTTGGATATATAAATGACTTAGTATAATGAAGAGCAGACCCTGGAATACTAAAGAAGCTAGAGAACTTCACAGGTCCCTCACTTTCATCATGCATGGAAGAAACACTTGTCATTCCAGTTTCATCCTGAATTCCTCTAAGCATCGTATTTACAGTCATATTGTCAGTAACAGTAAATATGCTCAGGCACCCAGGCTAAGGATTTGATTCCTGGGTTTATGTGAATTTTTTTCTCAGCTACATAATATTTCCAGGGTCTTTACAGTTCGGTAAGTCTGAAAGAACAAGCTTTCACAGAACATTTTAACACTTTCATTTCCATCCTGGCCTGGGAAGGTAAAAAACAGAAAGACAGGAGGGTCCTCCAGTAGGCTCACATTTTTAACACCTTCTCAAAACCTGTATTGTATTCCCTACCTAACAGAAATCCTCTGGACTTCACAATACCTACATCATTACAATACATATATGGCAATATATAATATTTCCTGGTTAAATTCTGCACCTCCCTCTGCTATATTCTGCTACCTCCTCTGTCTGCCCTTACTATAATACCTGATAATGTTAGATCATTCTCTGTCTTCAAAGCAGTAGCATCGCACTCTGAGGTTTTAGTCCGGGTGACCATATCAGAGCCTGGAACACGACAGGAATTAAAGAGCATAATAATCGCCTTTATCTATCTTTCTTCCACAAGACAAGATCATCCTTAGTTCCCTAAATTTATCAAATATTTTAAAGTGCACCATTTAGGAAGACTCCTTAAGTAGTTCCACCAACTGATGAATCAAAAATGAGTAAAACCATCTATGTATAACTCTGGAAAAAACCTAAACCAAAACATGCTGTTTGGAGGATAAAAGCAAATGCCATATCCGCAATCACTATGCATTCAACATCAGTGCTGTGGAGGCTGTGTGCATTTATAAAGCAGTATCACAAATCATTTTTGCAGGTCCTGCTATGTAAGTTGTGGCATTCTAAAAGTAAAATTGCAAATACAATACATACATAGTTATCATGATAATACAAGTAACCCATCTAGTTAAGTATAATGTGGTAAATTATTATGGTACCTGGACACTGATGGGACAAAGGCAAGTGTTTCCACAATACCATTTTTCACAGGTATTAAAAGTTATAAAGCATATTCTCGGACACAAGAATTTACCCAAATTTCATGAAACTGACAGTAGCCGAATCACTCCAGATTACATCTGCCCCCGCCAGAAAAGACTTTCAAGCAGTATCTCAATTTGGACGGTATAAAATAAAGTGAGAATGATGCTTCCATTATGGAAGACACATTTGCCACTGCCTACAGTTCATCATAAGCTTTTATAACAACTTCTGTGAGATAACTCACCTCTCCACAGATAAACTTGCTGAAAGGTAGTAAAATTTCTTTCTGCCTCTTCTGCCAACTTAGAAGCTAATAAAGAAAAAAGTTTGTTAGAATAGCTGCTCAAATTAAACAGGTAGTATTGAAATGCTCAGCAATTGCATTAAAAACACATCACTAGACTATGTAACACATTATTTACAATACAAGCCCCTAAGGAAGAAGGACCCAGGTGTCCTGGCGCTAGTCTAGATCCAGAGTGCCAAGGCTTTACTCTGTTTTCCATTTTTGCTTTTTCTGTGTAGCTCTGGGCATCAATCTTTTTGCATTTCCTCTGAAGTTTACCTTTCTTTCAGATTATTGGCTTAAAACTGCCTAAATTAAATATTGGAAGTAGTACAGGGTAACACACTAAAACCAACACATTCTTGACTTTCATTGATGTTCACACAGTAAAGTGTGAGAGGTCCATCTATCTAACAATGCATCCAATTAAGGAGTTCTTATTCTCTCATGATTGTACAGATAGAGATTTACTTGAGAAAAAAGCACTGAAGTACCAGAGCAGGCTGGTGAAAAAGGCAGAGTCTATAGAAGAATTAAAGGAAAGTTTTCTAGATTGAGATAATTCATTGACATACTTCCACTGAACACTTGTCCTCCCAGGGTGAAGGAAAACATCTTCTCTTTTTCATTATAGCTCACGCCTTTACATATCCCACCTATGACAGATGTTGGTGTTGGACTCCAGCCATTTGCATTGCAGATCAGCACGTCTGGGTCGCTCATCAAACTACACAAAATGGTACCTAGGTTCAGGCAAAGAGAGAGTTGCATTACTCCAATAATTCTTTGCACCTACACAGGGGTTTTTAATGAAGCATCCCAATACTTTCTCTAAATGTCAACTGAACCTGTGTCACTGAGATAGATACCCTTTAGTATTGCTACCAGAAAAAAAAAAGAAAAAGAAAAAAAAAAGAAAACCAGAGCCATACGTTCAAATTGGAGTACTAAGGTTAGCTATTCATACCTAAAACAAACATTTGTAGCCTGCTTTTGAGAGATTTCAAGCACATACTATTACCACCTAATAAAATATTACCATTATCTGATAATACCCGACAGTGTTCTCAGCATTTTATAGCACCACGGAGACATATTCAATCCTTTGGCGGTCTTACAACCTCAGAATCTGAACCAAGAAAGCACTTACATTTTTACTGGGATGTTTTCCTGTATTGGTGCCTGATTTCAGTCAGCCCAGGCCTAAGCCTCCTCTTGCATCGTGACGTGAGTCACGGGGACCAGCATGCTTAAGGCAAGGTGTTCTGGCGTCAGTCTGTTCATAAATATCTAGACAATACTCAGCTCTTGCTTTGTACTTGCTATCACAGCTCAGGCATTTCTACGGTCTTACAATGCCCTCTCTGATTTTTTTTATTTTGTATGGACTGGGTATACGAGATATTCAATGTGCTACTTTTTTTTTTTTTTTTAACAAAATGCTAGTCCGAGTAATGCATTTATCAATTTACATTTCAGTTAGAACTTCATGTTTCCTATAGGAAATGCACCTCCAACAGGAAAGTTGATCCCATGTGAGCTTGAAAAGAAATTACAAACAGCAGGCATTGACATTAAGTGCTTTAATTTGCTGGCAGAAATCTGGGCTCTGCCTAGGTCCCACCTCTGCCAAACTCTGTCCATCCCACTCCCACTTGCTCTCCTAGGTAGACACCCAGACTTAGGAGATTACAGCATGCCTGCATGCAATAACGTAACACAATGTCCTGTTCAGCATGCTCTTTTCCTGCTCCAAAAAGGGAGTTGATTTACATTTGCTCTACAAGCACTCTGGAGGCACTGTCTTAATTGCCCCATCAGCTGAAAGGCACCAACTTCTGGCAACCGAGCTGCGTTATGTAAGGAGAGAGGCTGTTTCAGAATGATTTAGCCCATCGGATGCAGATGTCAAGTCAAAAGAATTAGCCTTTCAAAATGTCCATTTCTCTCCAAGAGCAGCTTGCCACCTCAGGTCTTTATTTCTACTGCTCCAGGCCGAGTCTTGGACATTACTCAAATTCTGCCTACACCAAAAAATGTCACTGATGTAGAGGCAGGTGTACTGTGGCCAAAAATGAGTTCTACCCAGTTAGCGTTGGTTTTCTACTGCAGAATTTTTTATTTTGCCATTAGACAATACCTCCGTCAAGCGCGATCTGACTCAAGATGAAGCCATCACAGCAAGAGTCCCTGCTGCAAGTCTGCCGACAGAAGAGCTGAGCATCAGTTAGAGATGTGCTGGCTGCTGAGAGCACCAGGGAGCGATACATGCCAGAAAGCACATTCTGAAAACTGGTCCTTTCAAAGGGCTTGAGTCCAGATGAGTTAAATTCTTGTCCTGGGTAGACAGAACAGGAAAGAAATGTTTAAAAGAGCTCAGGAGGAGCTGGGATGCTTTTGGATTATAGTTGGTCAGAATGTACTGCCAGGGTGGGAAAAACAGTCCACTGTACCAGCAAAGGGCTCCTAAATCAATGTACACAGTAAGGCTGGTAATATCCCACTTTCAAGCACTACATTAATAACTCCCAGGTATAAATGAAAGAAACGTATCTTTTTAAAAAAGTAAAATGTGTAATTTGGCCAGCATAACTGCATCTGCAATTAAGGCTTCTGCTGACTAGACACATACGTAAGAGGACATGATTCATATAATCCTGTATCTAATTAGCAATATCAACGGAAATCTAGAGTAGATCTGGTATCAACAAGATTACGTTGATTGCAAAAAGGTCAGGGGACTTGTCTTTTTTAGGTGAGATTTAGCTCTTTATACTTATTATTATTAATAAATGGTGACCCAGAGGTTTGGGTAGAAGTAAAAAGAAAACAGTGACAGCAGAGATTTTTGATTCAAACACTGCAGCATTCTGCATTTGGTTGTCTTGTTTCAAATTTGGCATGAAGCTTAAAGTTGGACACACATTGGATGGGACATGCAGTGGCATCAATCACACTTAGGCCAAAAAAAGGTGTCTTGTACATTCATTAGACCAGCTGAATCATTTTGGGATTCATTGGAGAGCAGGGCATTTCTCAGCTGGTATATTAGTAGGACAACTTACAGTCAAAATTAACATAACTGTTAAATTATGTACAAGCTGGTCATTAATAATGCCTTACATAGTCAAGTAAAAAACTGTTCAATAAAGAGAAATTGTAGTACAACAGAACAGAATAGAATAAAATAGAGAATAATACATTGGATAAAATTTGAGCTTTTGTGGGACTGTCTGTCATCACAATGGCTTACAAAAGCTGTATTCTTAATTTCTAGGGAACAAGACATGAAGGGAAGATTTGCTGAGGTTTCTGAGCTACCACTAAATGTTAAGCTCTAAAATGTATTACGCCTTCTTTAACAAAGATGCTCCCCCCGCATTTAGTTATGACCCTGTATAGAACTACAAGTTTGGGCACAGCAGTCTAACATTAGATGAGTGATTTGCATCTGGTACCTCTCTTCAAGTAGACCATCACTGCATCTCCCTCTGGATTCCTGACATGAAGCAGGCAGCTGAGATGACCAATGCTAGTGGCATCGGGGTTCCCCAAAACACCTTGCACCTGAGACAGAAAACAGGCATGCACAATAAATAAAACCTAATTGTTTTCCTCTCCTAAAACCCATTTTCCTTATTCAGAAACTCAGGGGGAGGAATTAGGACACACGGTTTATAACCACCGCAGCTCCATGCGACCCACTGTGGACATTTTTTATTCCATCAAACTGAGATCTCTACTCTTCAGTGCCACTTTGCTGTGTTTAAAAGTAGTGAATAGGAAGCTGTTACAGTGCTAAAGAGCACATGATTCAAACCCTGGACCAGAGGAAGGCACTGAGAAATGATGACTGTTTCAGGTGATCTGATTACAGACCTGGATACTTCTAGTTTCGACTGTCCAGATTAACCCCCCCTTTCAAGTTAACCTGATTTCCAGACTGTGGGAGCTCAGCATGTTTTAAGAACAAAAGTTCTATGTGATGTTTCAACCAGACACTGAGGCATTCAGAAGTCAGTTTGGGGAACATTCTGGGAAGCTTCTTTACCAACCTGCAGGAATTTATTACTTCCATAGTGAAGAGCAATGATCAAGGGGTCAGGTAACAACCTGCCTTTCTTCTGTGATGCCTTCTACTTACATTGAACCTACAGTATTATGATAAACACATATTTTTAAATATGATCATTTTTACCAGTCCAGAGGTGGTGCAGTTGAAGTTGGCTTCAGCAGCACTGTATAATTCACACAGAACTTCAGCACCAGCAGGAGTTACAGTGGCAAAACTGCATGCTTCTTCCCTCTCACAGCCTGAAAAACAAAAAAGAAACCTTAGATTTCCTAGCATTTCATGTGCAAAATTTCTGCTACAAATTCCACCGTTCAGTGCCATGTACCTAGTTTTTCATGTCTCTATCAGACTGCAAACACATGAATTTCATTAGCCAGATGAACTTTACTATTCAACTATTCTAGTAGAGTGTTTGGTTTTTAAATTAACTTAAATTAATGCAAAAAGTTGTTTGGACATTCATCAGCTGATGATACAAACAGCTGAGTTAGGTCTAACCACACACCCAAATATTTAATACCTGCTGGATAATTTTGCCTGAGGTAAAATTTCACCTCCTGTTCTAGGAGCAGAGCTCTGGGAGCAAGTTAGTGGTGAGTGTGCAAGGGCAGCAGGATCTTCAGCCACTCCTAAATCTGGAGGGGGATGGCTGCTTGCTCACTTACACTGGCCAGGTGATTGCTGCAGAGGTGGCTGGCATGGCTGTAGAATTTCATGTTTCCCTCCTTCCTATCACTCAGATATTTGTCACAACATGTTTGTGATGGGGTTGCTGTATCAGGCAGGTGTGATGTGCTGGTAAAGTGGTTCAATGTTTCCAAATGTCTTTAGTATAAAATCAACCATCTTAGAAAAAAACATCATCAGAAATGTAAGCTAAGCTGTCTGACTTTGTCAGGAAGCAGAGAGGGAAGGGTTAACCCTTACTCTTCAGTGAGCACCCCAACTGTAATATTTTGTAGTAGAGTTGCCATTTGGCAATGGATGTAACTTATAATGAATATACAGTCTACGTGCATTGAATCAGATCGTTTGTCAAAGGGGCATCCTTTCCTCCCCAAGTTCACTCCCATGGTCCTCTCAGCTCAGTGAATTGTTTTTGAAGGTCTCCAGCTTCAGAGGAAGGTGCAAGAAACCTTGCAGTGTACAGCTAGGGGATGATCTGGTGCAGGAAAATCATTCTAGTAAAACATACAAGGCTTCATGGATTCACCTCTTAGCATGAGATGACTGTTCCAGCTAGACCAGCGTACGTGACACAAAGCCACTGACTTTGTCAGACTTCAGTTATGTCTACCCCACAAACAGGCCACCTTTGTTATTGCTGCCAGGGTATTTTTATTTTGAACGTAACCCCTCTGCCCCTCTTCACAAGTCTGAGCATTAGGAGGCACAAGGCAAGGCATTGATTCAAAGCACCCTGAAATGAAGTGCAGTGATTCCCCTTGGTTTTACATGACTTTGAATCAATATAAACCAGCAAAACATAATGTATCCAGACATACTATAGTATATACACTGTAAGGCTTGGCAGCGGAATATCTCTGCACTCCTTATAATATCCTTCTGATGTAAGCAAGGATGATTATTCCTCTCTTATGTGCCAATCAGGTATTTTGGGAAGAGCTGGAAGCTTGGTTTTCACATGTCCTGAACACCTAATCCTTCTTTTGTCTGCACATCTGAAAAGTCTGATGGATGTTTCCTGGTCTGAATCTCAGCTCTCATCCATACTGCAATTGATATCAACCGGCTTTAAAGTCAGATGAGTCATCTAACATGGTACATAAAATCAGAAGACTCCTTTCTAAAAGAAAGACCAATCTCTTCCCTGAACCAAGGTCACCAAAAGTTGTAAATACCTTGCAGTGAGTTGGTGCTGAACTGCAAAACATATAGAACTTAACTATAAGCTCATCGTATGAAAAGATTATTATTTTCCATGATGATTAGTGTTGTATCTCCAGATTTTCTGAGAGTTTTCCTCACCTGAAATGCACTGAAAAGCTGGACTTTTCAGGTCTCCCCCAAATGACTGCGACTGAAGAATTTGAGCTTCTTCTGACCCATAAATTAGTCTGGAGGCAGGAACTCCCTCAAATTTTCGGAGCACTAAAAAAAAAACCAACCAACCAGGTACTATTATCAGTTCCCATGCTGCAGAGAGATAAAGAGACTTTAGGTAGAAATAAAAATTCACAAATTCTGTA